AACTTAAGTGTTAGACAAAGCAAGCAAACACAATGAAAATGGACTTCTCCAAAGCGAAATTCAGCAGAGATGACAAAATAGCAGAATCAAAGAGGGTGGCAGAGGTGGCTATGAGCATTGGATCTGGCACATAACCTGCCTAAGGCAGGTCCAGGGTCATGTTATATGCCATCTTCTGACACAGTGGTAGTAATGGCCCAGGATCACGTGGATCCTCATAGACCACTGAGTCTGACTTGGTAGTGTAGGATGTCACTTGTCAACAGGAAAATCACAGGATTCCGGATTTTAGAGGTGTGTATTAGAATGTGTTTCAGTGAGGGTGGGAGAGTTGAGTCACATTTCAGTAACTTTAAAAACCAAAAGCACATCAAGATGGGCATCATATATTATGCAAATACATTATAGTAGCCTATTTAGTGAATCCAAATGGCATTTGGTAAGCACCTGGGAACTTACATTATCGCTGCCATTGAACCCAGAGGAGTTAGACTCATTTTTACTAATGGAGTCCTCCAACTGTAAGATTTCATTATGAGGTTATTTTCAAGCCTTGTAAAATATCATGAGATAAAGGGCATCAACAAAAGAGTGCAAGATAAAACGTGCTACTGTCCCCAGGTAAAAGGAATGAACCAAAAGACTCTTAACAAAGCATTATTCTAAACAGCAGTACTGTTGGGGTTTCTATGTCTTGGTTAATAGGTTAATCGGGGGGTGTGAAAGATGTGAGATTGACATGCACAGTAGGGCTTTTATACAGTCAGAATGTCAGCAGTTTATCATAACCCTCACTGTATGTACTTGTGCTTTAGAGCGCAGTTGATGTTCCCATTTCACTTCCTGGACCGGCTTGGCAAACATGATATGGCCTGCACAGTCTCGGGGAGCGGAAGGTCAGCACAGGCTGGAGCAATACGCCTGGCAACGGCAAAGGCCTTATGCAGTTTTGTCACGGAGGATGAGGTCGAGTGGATGAGACAAGGTAGGTGTCTAAGTTGGAAAGACATGATTGTCCTGATACTCCCTATCAGGAGATCTGATTCCTGTCCCTTTGCTGGTGGGTGCCATCGAGTCAGTTCTATAGGACAGAGTTAGAAGGGCCCCATGCCTTTTTCTTGGCTGTAATCTTTGTAGATCGCTGCCTGCAGAGCCACTGGCAGGCCCAAACTACTCAACCCTTGACCAAGTTGCCACTACGGCTCCAGTGAAAGCCAAACTCGCTGCCATCTAGTGGCTGCTGATTCATAGCAACCCTATAGGGTAGGGAAGGACTGCCCTTGGGAGCTCCCGAGACTGTAACTCCTAATTGGAGTAGAAACTCCTGTTTCTTTTGCTGGTGGTTTTGAACTGCTGACCTCATGGATCACAGCCCAACATATCACTACTACACTACCAAGGGCCCTCCTTTTCTTGGACTAATTACTTGAAATGAATGAGAAAAGATGTAAACTTGAATTAGCAAAAGGGGATGGAGTGGACTATGGTAGCCCTGATGTAATGTTCAGCCCAGAGGTTTGGGAAAGCATATTTTGGCCTTAAGGTATAAGAACTTAGCTCTATTGTATTTAACAGCTAAGTTGGCTGCTTTTATTTTGTCATGGATAATTTGTAATACTTATTTGATTTATTGGTAAAACTATTAAGGTATTAATTTCGACAGTTACTGGAAATTTGTATTGTTTCCACATCCGCTACTTCAGTATTTTTGTTTTTTGAACTCCATTCTGTGTGACCATATAAGCTGGTTGTGAAGCCAGGCTCCCCGCGCAGTGTGACAAAGACTCGGCAGGCTGTTCTTTCGTTGGGCATTGCTGTAAGTTTTACAGTCCATCAGAGGACATGCGAGCAGAAGGTGATCTTTGCACTCCTTATGCAGAGTGTCAGCTGAGTGTGCTGCTAGCCAGCTGTGGGAGTCACTTGGCACCTCTGGGTCTGTATTTCTTCCCTAGCCAAGTGAACGGGTGGATTAGGGGATCTCAACAAGCACTCCTGTCTGGGCTGGCTACTCTGTGGAACCGGAAGTGCTGCCTGTTCTGTAGCCCAGTTCATTTGTTAAGCCTCTTAAAAACCCATTTGCATATAAACAGTTCACCATTACCTGTGATTCACATCTAGTCATTAAAATAAATTGATAGGGCCTTTATAATTCTACTAGTTGAAGTTCCTGTGCATATCTGGAAGTAATAAAACATTTTTATTTATAGCTTAAGCCAGAATTTAGACAGATCTTGTTTGCATTTTGTCAAAAGTTGATGTTACTTTATTCTGTACTCTATAAGTACAAGTAAATTTAGGGGTGTATATATGTTTGAAGTTTTCCCTTGACAGGTGTCCATGAATGGATCTATAAGTAAATCCTGAGACCTTGCATAATATGAAATCAAACACACTCTTAGAAGAGTACAAGCAATTTAAGAGTGTTATGGTCACTGGTATTTCATGTGACCTGTGGTCGTCACTAACTTACTGGGACTCCTCTATGTGGACCTTATGCAAAGAATAACTTCTTCATTGCCAGAAATCTTAATTGTTCCTGATGATTAAGAGAGTGGGAGCTTCTGGGTTAATTGGTGAATTTATTAGTATAGAATACATTGCTGGTGCTGAAAATATAACTAAAAAAAAAAAGAACTCCTAAATTTTGAAACAAAATCCCAAGGAGTTGTATTATCAGGCAAATTAAAGCAATCAAACAGTTTCTTTTCACAAATGCTTGAGGAATCATTTTTTGTGCTTTGTATAATATGTGATATTTGTACAGTTAATTTTTTTATTCATGGTAGCTATGTTTCATAAAGTCACCATGAATACTGAGTTACCGTGTACTCAAATGTTATTACTGCCTGGGGAGAATACTGAGTTAGGTTCCTGCAAGCCTCTGGTCACAATATATTCATCAGCCAAATAATGCGTAATTTTGGATGTGTTTCTGTTTAAAGACTCCTTGATTAGTATATGTCATTGATTCACTAACATTGAACTCACAGCACTGTAACTCAAGCTTGAACAAAGCTTATCCAACTTGCATTTCTCCTTAAGGCCCATTACAACCTTCTTGAACTTAGTGACACTGGATGGTGCATTTGCACTAACCGTGGGGGCTATTTAAACAGTGAAATCACCAATAAAAAGCATGGAAATTTAAAAAACACGGATTTACATGCACCATGAAAAGGATACCTTTTTTACCATTGAAAACTGAAACAAAAAGGCCTTGTTCAATCTCAGCTGGGAATGTACATGCTGTGTGACTCAAAGTTTTCAGTTTTGTGCAGATCCGTGAATGACCATTACTTGAAGATTGCAAATAAATTTTAACAAGCAGGAAAATTAGCAAATTCTGAATGCACTAATAATGAGGATCAGTCCTACCTGCTAAGTTTTTCTTCTCTGCCTCTTGTCTCTATTATTATTATTATTTTTATTATTTATGTCTATAAAAATCAGCATGTGGGATAAGTTCCTTTGCAATGAGCAGTAACTGGCCACGTAAGAGCAGATGGTTCTTCAGTTGACCAAACTGAGAAACCAGAAAGGAGTCATAGAATAAGGAAAGCAGACAGGAATAGGAATGTAATCATCGTATGTCTTAAAAACTGGAAGACTATCCTGATAGAGTGAACGTACCCCGCTTCCCAGAGTTTTTCCCAGGCTGTTAACTTGTTATTTATAGGTCTGGGGGATCTTTGCATGTTTGCTTCTCTGCCAACAGTGTCTATAATTTCATGCAGGCCACTGCTTTCCTGCTAGGCAACATGCATTTTCCATGGTTCATACATGTTTCTCTTCTCTATTCTACAGCTGGACTACTTACTACTGATCCACGTGTCCGAGAACGGAAGAAGCCAGGCCAAGAGGGAGCCCGCAGAAAGTTTACGTGGAAGAAGCGCTAAGTGTCATGCTCCCCCAGCCCTCCATGGGGACAGGAGAGGAAACACTGCGAAAACGGCCTGACAAGTGGCAGGCGTGCAGCATTGTTTGTTGGCCAATGTGAGGGCAACATTTCCAGGCAGTTTTTGTTTTATCTTTGAGTTGGGAGGTGGCTTATTTTTAAATGCTACTTTGTAAAGTTTACCTTAAAAATTTAAAAAAAATTGCTTAACTTCTTTCTTCTATTTTCTTTTGTAACTTTCTCAGAAGAGAGAGCTAAAAAGAGTGGGTGGGGCAATTCCATTTTCCATGAAACTTTTGAAGCCCCATCATACTTTAGAGACATAATCTATAGAATACTGGACCTGAATGGAGCTCTCAGTAAAACCTAATCATGGCACCTCAATATGCAGAGGAGAAATCTTACCCCTTCCTCCATGGCCATCCAGAACAGGCTCCTAATTCAGTGGTAGAACTAGATTGGGATTCACTGCTGCCGATTCCCCATATGCTCTCAAGATGGAGAGGCAAGAGACCTTGTTCAGAAGAATGGAGTAAGTTGAGTGTTGTAGCAAGCTGCTTACGAGACCTATTGTAAGGTTGGAAAGTACTTTGAAGACTAAGGCCCACCTGACCCAAACCATGGGATTTTCAAATTGTGTTGTATGCCTGCTGGACAGTCCATCAGGAAGATCAAAGAAAGTGGATGCCTTTGGATTATGGTGTCGGCTAAGAATACTCACTAGCAGAAGAATGAAGAAGTACAGTCAGCATGCTCCTTATAAATGAGAATGGGAAGACTTTGTCTTATATGTTGGGCAGGTCATCAGGAGAGATTGTCCCTGCAAAAGAACATCGTGATCAGTAAAGTGGAGGGGTCCATGAAATTTTAATAAAGACCCTCAACAAGGTGAATAGATAGCAGTGGCTGCAACAATGGGTTCAAACAGTAACAGTTGAAAGGATGGCGCAGGACTGAACGCTATTTAGTTGTATTGTGCACAGGGTCTTCATGAAGGGCACCTAACCACAGTGATCAGGTATCTGATGGTCACGAGAGAAGAACTGAAAGGCTAGCTATTTTGCAGGTAAGACAGGAGGGCTCTCAAGTCAAAGATACTCTGTCGGCTTGTAGGATGCGCAACTGGATCTTCTTGGGCCCGCTAGTGTTCCTGGGGGTGGGGTGGGGCGCTCTTAAACTCTATTTTCTTTACTGTTGAAAGAGAGGGCTTCTACCTACCTTTCCAAACTCCTCCCCACCGCACCTTCCACACCAGCCATCCCAGGATGACGAGCCCTAAATATGCCACACATTCAAACACCTTGGTGCCTTGGCTCCAACAGTACTTCTCCCTCAACTGCCTTTCTGTCCATGAACATCTCTTTAAAATCAGACCCCGTGAGGAGGTGTGGTCCACTGCCCGCTGCCAGCCCCCTGCCCTCCACCTCTCCACCTCTCCTCGGCGTCCACAGCACGCACTTCGTTTATCGTCATCCAGGTCATGAGTGCTGGGATTGCTGTGAGCTCAGCAAGGGCAGGGCCTGTGCCCAACTCACCTTGCCCAGTGCCCGGCACAGACATGGTTGCCAAGTAGTTCGAGGGCCTCAGACCAATCCCTCCCGAAGTGTTCAGCTGATTCATCAGTCGGCCACAGGTCTGCTTGTCTCGCGTGTCCCGTTGGAGCCTTCGGGCAGTCCACGTGGATTTCCCGATGACTCCTTTGGGTCCAGTCGTAAGGGGGTTACAGAAAAATAGTAGTCAAGAATTTCTGTCCTCGGAGTTTAGAGACTAATTAGAGAAACACAACAAACAGAGAAAACAATTAGAAGGCAATTAAGTGCTCAGCTGTGAAGTGTTGACTGCGAGAGCAGTAATGATTCCGTCAGCCTGGGGTGTGCTGGGAGAAGCGGGGCCGGGCTCATCCTCGGAGCTCCTTGGCTTTGAGCTTGGCCCTGCCAAGCCGCAGCGTTCTCACCGCAGACCGTGGAGACGTGGCTGACATTCCACACCAGGGTCTTGGCACAATGGAATGCCAGCGTTACCTGAAAAAAAAAGTTCAAAACGGCTTCAAGGAGGAATTGAATCCTGACAGGCAGGTAGCATGAGGCAGGCAAATGACATGAGTTTTCTTAGCCCCTTGATTCAGCCTCACCTTTGGTTCTACCTGGGCCCTTTCCTAACCCAGGAAAGAATCCAAAGCAGTGGTTCTCCCACCATAAAATGATTTTCATTGCTACTTCATCTCTGTCATTTTGCTACTGTTATGAATCGGGCGACCCCTGTGACAGGGTTGTTCGGCTCCCAAAGGGGTTGTGACCCACATACTGAGAACCGCTGATCCAAAGGCACCCAATACTCATGGGGTGCTTTTCTGGCTCTCCGGGGAACTGAGCCACGCATGCCTCTGCATGTGGAAGTTATTGTCCTTGTAATCGGCATGTCTGAAATCCATGTGGGCCGGCTGTCCTCTCGGCCCTCCTTGGCCGTGTCTCTTCCGTCCATCACGGAATATTTCGCGGGCGTTAGGCAGCTGTGGCCGAGCATGCAGGTTAAGGAGGCCGTCATGCACTGTGTCCGCGTGGCCATCCTGTCCTTTCAGAACAGTATGAGTTTCTAAAGAGTAGAGATGCCACTGGTTCGTGCTGCAGTAATAGACTCATGAGAGGCTTGGACTGTAATGTCGAGGGGGTCCCAGTCTGCTAACGCCCGTCCGTGGAGCGGGGCTGCCAGCTGCTCCCCAGATGGTCACCAGTTGAGGCTACCCCAAGGTGCCTCAGAAGACAGGCCTGGCAATCTCCTGCCAACAAAGCAACCACGGCCTGTTGTGGGGAGCACAGCTCTACTCTGACAAGTACAGGGTCCCTGTGGGGCAGAATCCACTCAGAGGCCACCGGGAAAGCATTCCTCGTCCAATCCATTCCTGCAGTTGAATAAATTCAGAATTATTTCAGTGCTGTTTTAACACAATTTATGTCTGCTGGTGTGTGTGTCCCTATCTTTAAAACACTGACTTGCTTTAAAAGGTACAGTGGATTCATTTTGATCTTTATGCATAATTTCCCTGAATAGGCCATAAGCCCAGGGTATATTATAATCATGTGGTATGTGACGGGGGCGGGGGGAGCTTGGACTGCTGTGAGACCTCTCCATCTGAGCACCCACAACCACTTCCAGACGCTCCCTCCCCAAAAGTCAGCATAGTGTCTAGCAACTCCGCGTTCATCTCGCCCTCCATGTAAACCCCACACCCAGCCCTCCAGAAGGTTCTGAGTGAGAGATGGGGAAAGGGGGCAGCTGACATCTTGCCCTACCTCCACCGGCTCCTTCCCCGAGACGGTGCCGGCTGGGTGGGAAACATTCTGGGAAGCAGGTGTGGAGGGAGACCTGGAAGGCCAGCGTGAGCCACCTCCGACGCCAAATCACTTCTTTCGATTGCAGGTTCAGTGTCACCCTCGGAATGTAAAACACCTGGAGAACGAGAATGGGAGCCGGGCTGTAGGATTGAGGGAGCCTGGGGCCATCCTGGTGGGCTCGGGAATAATCGGGTGGGGAGTGTGCCTTGCTAGCACCCTGCTCTCTGCCCATCCCCAGTTCATTCTAGGACTAAAGCCCTCTGCTGCTGCCAGACGGTTCGGATTCCCAGCAACCTCGTGGACAACAGAGTGAAGCACCGCCCACTCCCGCGCCCTCCTCACGATGGTTGTGTTTGAACCCGTTGTGGTGGGCGGCGTGCCAGTCCACCTTGAGAGAGTCCTCCTTTTTGCCCGCTCCTCCTCCACCCTCCCAAGCATGCTGCCCTTCTGCGGAGATGGGGCTCTCCTGACAACATGTCCAAAGTATTTGAGACGCAGGCTCTCCATCCTTGCTTCTACGGAGCATTCTGGCTGTGCTGCTTCCGAGACCAAGGTGCGTGTGTTCCTCGGGCAGTCTGGTGCTTCCTGTGCGCCTCACCAGCTCCGTCAAAGGCTTCACTTCCCCGTCTTCCCGAGTCAATGGGTGGTAGTAAAACCTGTAAGCTTATTAAAGTCTATTTTATTGACTTAGGAGCTCACTAAGCAGAGTAACAGTAATTTGCCTCTTACCCAGAAATCCAATAGTTTTAATCCTTTAGAATAGTAACAAAACATTTATAGGCATGAGTAGTTTACATAATATTCTGTCCTTTTGATCTAACCCTCAACGAGTATCCCTAGCCTGGATATGAAGGGCTTGTGAACCTCCCCAAAACCTGGTGTTGGACTTACTGCCCACTGTGTAGGAGAACTTTGTGTTGCTTCAAGCACCAGACACAGGGGTTCCCTTACCGGGAGGCCCTGTGGTGGGAATATGCTGTGCCTGAACGGGAAGAGGCAATGGAGAGTGGGGCAGAGAGACGAGGAGAGGAAGAAGGTGGAAGTGGACGAAGTGGCCTCCCTAGGGCCTCATTAAAGATGGAACAGCACTGTTTTTCTCTGGGAAAAGGCTGGCATGCCACATTAACAGACTGCAGTAGGCATGAGCGGAAGGCAACCCAACCTAGGCCCACTGCCGTATCACCGATTCTGACACTCACGTTGCTGCTGTCAGGCGGTTCCAGTTCAGTGACCCTACTGTGTACCGCCGAAGGCAACACCACCCAATCCCCGACCATCCTCCCCTTGTTCTGTTTAACCCAGCCAGTTCTCACCCTGTGGGTCGCAACCCCTTTCGGGGTTGAACGACCCTTTCACAGGGGTCGGCCGGTTCATCACAGTAGCAAAATGACAGTGATGAAGTAGCAACGGAAATCATGTTATGGGTGGGGACCGCTGGTCGAAGCCCGTTGTTGCAGGCACTGAGTCGGTCCATCTGAGTGAGGGCCTTCTTTCTCATCACCCCCTACTTTACCAAGCATGACGTCCTTCCTCCAGGGACTGATCTCTCTTGACAACACCTCTTCGGACTCATACCCTCATACAGGGTTCCTGAGATGGTGAATCACTGGGGGCACAGATAGCCTTGACTTTCTCCTGAGGAGCAGCTGGTAGATTCGAATTGTTGACCTTGCAGTTAGCACTCCAGTGCTTACCTGACAGTCTCACCCAGGCTCCTTAGGGGTGGAAGCAAGGAGTCCTCGAAATGTAGGGCACAGCTGATGGGACTCCAGAGTCCCAGCATTGGAAGGAGCGGACAAGGGTGGGTCTCTGGATTTTGAATCCCGAATTTGAAAGTCAGTCCCCGAAGTCAAATGAAAGTAGCTGATCTAAAGTTGATGATCACCTACCCTGCGACTCGATCAAAGGTCGCCGACAAATGTCAATTCAACAGAGTGTTACACTGTGTGGAGAGAACATGGTGAACAACAGCAATGAGGGTGAGAGATGCATGCGCAGAATAGGATGTTGCCACTGATGTGCCGCCTCAGGGGTCCCCAAACTTCAGGGTGTGTCGGAAGCACCTGGAAGGCTTGATAGGAGGGCTCCTGAGAAGACAGGTGAAACTGCCCGCTCCCCTAAAGGTCCACAACGATTTAATAGCTCAGCAATCTTACACAGGGGCACTGAGTCAGAAGACTCGAGGGCAGCGGGTTTAAACAAGTCCCTGGTGAAGGTCTTTGCTGCTTGCCCAGGGAAGACACTTTGAGAACCGCTGCTTTTCTTGATTCTGAGTTTGGGGAGAAGAAGAAAATCATTAAATGTCTCCAGTGGAAGGGACCTGGGGGATCATGATTAGTTGGGCTGTAAGTCCGAAGCCGCAAGCTGCTTTGTGGAAGAGGCTTTCTACTCTCATGAAAATGTACACTCTTGGAAACACCCCCCAGGCAGTTCTGTTTTGTCCTAGACAGTCATTGTGAGTCAGTATTGACTCATAACTGAGTTCTAAGTTTGGGGGTGAAAACCAAAATTTCCCCATGCAGGTAACAAACGAGTGGCGCCACGCGTGCCACAACAGGCAGCAAGAAGGTCAAAACGCATG